CGCCGCCGTTCTTATTGTTATTGAAACACGAATCCACGGAAGCGGCGCGATCTCGCTTCAGCTCCGGCACGGTCAGGAAAATGTCACGTACGACGAACTTGGACCTGCACGGCTCGACGGTCTCATTCTCTTCGTCGTCGTCGTCATCGTCCGCTTCTGACGCAGTTGAGGTTGACACGACAGCGGAAAGGTGCTCCAGGGGGAAGGTGGTCAAGGCCTCCTGCCTGGACAGCCTGCGCTGCCTCTCCGGGAACTCTGGTCTGACCTCGGAGTCCGGGTCGGTAGGTGTATCTTTGGTTATCTCGGATGGGAGGTATTGTGACTCACACGAGTCATCTGATGTCAGGGTGACCAGGATTTCTGGGCTGCCCTCCCTCTTGTTCTCCTCATCCTCCGATTCGTTCTCGGACAGATCTGAGCTATCAGCCTCACGGACCTCCCCGGCGTCAACTTCTTCTCTGGAGATGTCCTCAGCCAGCCAGAGATTCCGATACTCCTCGACGCAGGCACAGTGGTAACATCCGGAGACTTGAATAGTTGGAGTTTCCGGTCGCTCGATTCCACCTGCTGGAAGTTGACTCGGGGACGAAGTGGAACTCGCGGAGTACGCGTCTAAGCTCTTGGAACGCTGACCGGTCAGCTGAGGTACTTTTAGAGTCGAAGAACCTCTCCTGCCGCGCATCGATTCTTGCGATCTCGCCGGAGAACACGTGGAGGATGATGAGGAGGTACGGTCGTCTTGTCGCTGGGTCTGCAACTGTATCTCGTCAAAGGAGGCCGACCTGATTTGTTTGGGCACCTCGAGGCTAGATTGGGACTTCATTTCTGCTCCCGTAGGAGTGCGCGACCTTTTGAAGGTCGAGCGCAGCTTCTGCATCGTCGCTTAATAGCTACCTGGCGACGCTGTCGTCCGCAATACCGGACGTTCCGCTGCTCTCTTTTAATAAAAACGACTTTCTGAATAAGACACAAACGGCCGTGTTGCTTTCCTCACCCTCTTCTTCGTCCTCGAGATTGGATATGCCGTCGTGTTCTTGGATCGTCTTCCGCTTAAACGGCGACTGGATCGCTTGCTTACAAGTCGAACAGGACAATGATGATGACGACGACGACGACGACGCGACCGTCTCTTCTTTCAGCTTGAACTTAGCTGCCGATTTGCAGCCCATTCTAAGTACTTTCGCCGGCCAGTGTTACACCGAAATCCTTTGTTCAAAAGTCCTCAAAAATCGAATAATAAGCGTTAATCGACTAATCACTTTGGAAAAGAAAAAGCAATTGATTTATCAAGAGACCAAAAGAACGTTCGTTGATATCGGGAAGAAAAAATACGAGCTGGGGTTTACAGCTGTTTCTCAATGTCCGACACAATTTTTTGTATAAAGAGCTGTTTACTTGGAAGCGACTCCAGTTTTACAGAAACGTATGGTCACTGTCGATTTTTATTCGTTGCCAATCGATGTTGCTCCAACTGTTTTTTCGCTGTTTTCATATATTTCGACGTTAATTTGAAGTTATATAGGAACGAAGCTTCCAATTATCCTCCAGCAGTGCAGCAAAGTTTTATGTATTTGACCGGAAATATGTCAAATGTGACAACCAGCGATACGTGAATTCCATGAAATCTCGTTATATTCAGCGGGAATAATTCCGACAAACTTGACGGTGATTAATCGAAGTGGGCAAATTTTCATCCGTCATCTGCTTTGTTTTCTACGTTTGTCCACCCTCGCATCTATCCTCGCACTCAATCACTCTCTCTTTTCCTCTCTCTACCTTTGTCTCACTGTTTCTCTCTCTTTATCTTTCTGTCTCTCTTTTTCTTTCCTCACTACCACCCCTCACAGCGCGGTTCTCTCCTCTTGAGTGACTGGCATCATCGATCGAGTTTTCCAGCACCGGAATTTATTTTCACATTGACGCGTGATAATCGGGGTCGTCGAGGTCGTGTGCACTACTGTCGCGGCACGAGGCAAAGTCGAGCCGAGATGATTCCGCGACCGGAGATCGATTGATCCTCATTGTCACCGTCACGAGATGTTCCAGTCGATTTGAACGTCTTCAAGATTTCGCGCTCATCGTTGAACGAGCGTCCATCGTTGAACATATCGACAATCTGTCGAATGTTAACGGTAACGAAGATCAAAATTTCTTGGGAACGGACGATCGTTCGATGCCAAGAGACAATCGACGAATATTCACCAACGAGACTCGTTCTTTCGAACGACCTTCACCACGTCGTCGGTTGATCCATAAACTCGATCAATGATAGAGCACATTCCACGGAAACTCGCGCACCGTTCCACCCTCGAGATTCGTCTCTCTCTCTCTCTCTCTTTCTCTTTCTTTCTTCCTATCTCTTCCCTTTCTTCCTCTTTTCCTCTCAAACGCAATATCTTTCGGGTAAGAAACATCTACGCACCGTCCACGAGCCAAACGCGTCGTCCCGCAAGGGATGAATTCAACGCGGTCCCATCACTCCAAAATTTTCGCCCTACGCTCGCGGTTCTTTTCGAAACCCGCGCATTTCGGTGACCTCTCTCCACGCGGGTCGCGTTCTTTTGCGACCCGCGAGAAAAACGTACAGTGATACCGATCTTAAACAAAGCGATAGCGACGGAGACGCGACACGACGCGGCGCGGCGAGATTGCCGGTCGGACTAACGCAAGCCAGGGCTCGTCGATGACCGATGTCGAAAGGGGTGAGAGAGAACGCGGGCGGTTGTACGTGTGCGCCCCCGTCCTCCCCCGCACTCTACCTCGTCGTGCTCCGCTCATGCGCCCTTCGCAACGGATTACCTTTCAGAGAGGTGTCACGACCATGCGCGCAATAATATAAAGCGTATTGGTCAGGAATCGGGGTTCATATGATAAAAAATAAGAGAGAGAGAGAGAGATTTTACACGAGACCGACAGTCATCAAGCAGTGTTAATGGCGTTTGTATTATTCAGATATTTGAGATATTCGAATATCAAGTTTCGTAACGTTTTGTTTATTCAGTCGAAAAAATAGGTTTAATGGGATTTTTTTATAGATATAGTTTGAATCTCTCTTTCTCTCTCTCTCTCTCCCTCTCTTTCTCTCATTATTATCTTTCTTTCTTTCTCTCTTTCTTTTCTTTTGTTCTAAAAAAGAACCGAGCATCATTTTCATCTCGTATAGCTTTTATAAAATAAACTACCGTAAAGTAAACATCATAAAATAAAATTTACATCCACTCTACTGAACGCTTCTCTTTCTTTCCGACGTCTACAAATATCAGTCCGAAAATCACCGCTGCATTAAATTCTCATATATTCACGGTGGATTCACGCAGAGTTGCAACCATAACGTGTAATCAGTACATGACCTTAAAGAATCTGCCGGGAAGACGTTAGTGCTATGTAGGTTGCAAATTAAAAGTATCGTAACCGGTCGAGTCGATAACAATCCCGGTGTTATCGAGAAATTAAAATATCCATCAATTTGGCAACCGACCAGAGAAGACGTTAAAATCGCGCGATAATTTTGTTAAAAAGAAATCGAATTGAACTTTTCCTTTTTTCTTTTCTACAAATAATCGAGTAATCTTTTGTCCAAAAAGAGAGAGATCGCTGTTCAAGTTCCGTAGTTAGATAACTGCTGACCTTATCTCCGAATCGGACGGTATAGGATCTTCGCGGCATCTTAAGTTCGTGCCCTCCGCGAAATGCACCCGGTGTCCTAGCTTCGGTGCCAACTCGAGCAACCTACAATGCACACGAGAAACGCCCAGATGGTGGTATACGATCAGCACACGAGGAGCGTAACGTCTACGAGATCTCTTTAGCCGTTTTTTAACCGTCTCACCTTCGACACGCTCCCGCTAAGGAACCGACCGGCACGGATCATCGACAGCTCAGTGTAAAGGAATTTGTAGCCGGATCATCCGAAGAGTGTTGTTTATTAGTTCGAAGTGTGATGCTTCGGGCATTACATTATTCGCTTATCTGTATGTGATTGTGTAAATGTACTCATTATATACAGCATATAGATTCGGTGGTAAGTTAAGGCTCGGATATTAATTAAAACGAATTCTACTTGATAGAATTCTACTGGTCGAATTGTTCGAATGTTTCCAGATGGAAACGATCGAACAGAATCTATGTGATTGAAGGCATTATTATCGCGTAAAACGTGACTTACGGAATATTACTCTATGTAATATGTCACGGACTTATAAGTCGTAAGTCTTTTTTTTCTCCAAGTTGAAGAAGGCGAATCTCGTGTAACAAGCGAAATTTAATATCTTCAAAGAGGCTCTCAACGTTTCAAGTTAAAGTTGTAGGTGTAGAGTTTAATGAGGGATTTTTAGTGTCTTGCAATAAGCTATATTTATATATAAATGTTTAAAAAGTCCCGATCACGTAATGACCTCGAGTTTCATAAAACAAGGAGAACATAATTTCCTGATTATAGAAGCGTAACAATCACGTAACAATCGCGGAAAATCGTATTCTAGTATACATACTAGCGATTGCGCAGTTGTGATTAGCGATTAGCGATTATTTTTTAATCAAATCAGAACAAAGCAGTTACCGATTTCTTTGCTCTAACTAGTTGAAAAATAATCGTCAATTGCACAATCGCTAGTATAATTACGAGACAATTCATCGCAGCAGAAATAATTATTCTAGAGTAATTATGAAAGAATATCGACACGGATTCATATATGGACCAGAAACTTACGTGATTCTTATTGTAATCACCTCGTCAGGCGCCGGTTTCGATATCAAGCAACACAACGCGTATCTCTCTATCCAGTTCATTCTCGCGATCGGTTTCCACCTCGACGCACGCGACTGATGCAAAGAAAGGAAGGGAAAAAACGCAAGAATAATTGCAACACAATCACCGTTTCCCGCACTCTTACTCCCGCTAAACTTTCGCAACTGTGAATTATGTCATTTCTATGTAATAACACCTGGTACGCCTGTACTTTTCCTGTGTATCACCAACCTAGTTGTCACTCACAAACACCTGCTATCAGCCACTGATGATGTCACTCGTTTAATTTCTGACCGAAATACGTCATAACGTCCAACAAATTGCCTCCTAATTAACTATAGTCAAGTTATGCGTTATGAAGCGCAATATTCGTTTCCGTCGTTCAATCGCAACAAAAGCGTAATACTGTTGATTTCGTAAGACGCATGACGTTTAATAATGGCTTAATATATCTTTCAAGATCATTTCTGCAATTAAATTGTGTTACGAAGCGTGAATGAATGACAAAACATAATGAACTGAAAATGCTTCTAAATCCCGTTTCAATAAATTCTTTCTGAAAAAACTTGATTTTTATTTCAATATAAAAATAGATTTACCTAAAGTTCTTTAGTCTCGTAAGCAAACTTCTTCGAAATTTTAATTTAAAGAAATATAACAAAATCGTTATTAACAATCTATTGACATGAATGATGATTTCTTGAAATTTTATAAAAAAATCAGTTGTGAATTGCAGAAAAAAACTATTGTTGAAATATTTTTTAAATATTGACCAAAATAAAATTATGTAAAAAATTTATTTTCTCTCGATATCTCTATGCGAAACATTGCGATATCTTTCAGAGCATGACGCATTAAGTAAATATTTTCCTCTTCCTTCACACGAGCTAACTGTCGATTCTTCAAATACATTGTCTTTGGACATGCCTATTCTGGCTTAATTACCGCACTTCATAGCGGTATTCTTGTGTACAAAAATACGCATAATACCCGGGAACTGCACTTGAACTTTACTCGCGCAATACAAAACGTGCGTTCGCGTCCGAAAACAATTGAGAACAGATTACGGAGGTGGCTTATTGTTAGGCTCCGTCTGTTTCGCCTCCTTCGCGTTTTGCCACGTTTGTCCTTCCACGGC